TATGTTTGAAAATGACGGTTTTTGTTTTTTTTTTTTTTGAGATCCAATGGGAAAAATTAAGTTTAATAGAAAAGTGTATGAAACAATTTTATAATTTTCACAAGTTCATAGAAAACTTCTGAAGAAGGAACAGTACCGGAGAAGCAATAAGTTAAAAAGTTTAACAGTATAATTTTATATAAAACTATGTCAAGTTGTTGTTTTATTGATAATTCTGTAAATATTATTATAAATATTAAGAGAAGCGCGCCTTTGACGCTCTATCATTTAAAGTAAAACACTTTGAATATTTGTACCTGTTTATCTCGGAAAGAACTTCAATAAATAAAAATCATCATTAAATTTCATGTAAAGTCATTTATCTCAATGAAATGATCAGATAAAATAGGGGAAATTGACTGAATCTGTTCTTTATTGATAATTTGCAATATTCAAAGTTGAAGTCCAGTTGAAACTTAACTCAAAAAAGAATAAAGAATCAAATGAGGCATTTCCCACAAAATCGTATTTGTTTACCGTTTAGAATCTCAAATTCTTCTATGCTAACATAAATAGACCCCATACAATATACGCGCAACTTTTGAGTTTTTGATAAGCAAATATGTATTGATTTATTTTTAATTATTTAGGTACACAATAAATGCTAACCCTAAAAACTTGATGATGATAGATATTATTTTCTCAAGAAATTGGAAAAGTATGAAAATGAAATAAATATTTATGGAAAACAAAAGCGTAAAGTGCGTTACCACAAAAAATAAGTTTGAAGAGCAATAATTTAATAAATAAATCTATACCGTTTTAGGAGAAAAGCAGCATGTCTTTAAGACGCCGGAAAATCACGTGGAAATGAATGAAAATGAAATACTTAATGGTACTAACATTTTCTAGGAAAATATCACTTTTAAGTTTGAATATCAGAGTGCTAATTCAACACGTAAGATGGCACTGTATACTATTTAAAAAATTAGAAAATGTATAACTCAATATATTTTTGATAATCTGCAATATGTTTTTAATATAATATCGTTTAAAAAACTAAATGAAATCAATTAAACATATTCTTATTTTACAAACAAAAAGAAAACGAAATGATAGTTGGTACTAACAATATTGGTACACATGGTTACATCAAATCAAAATGTGTTATATGTTCTATGGTTGTCATGATTGTGTTGTCTATGTTTAATTATGGTTATGTACATTAAAAACAAAATTAATTAGTTAAAAACATACAATGTGATACTTCGTTAATGCAGAAGTAGCAGTAATTGATAAAACAAGGTATAGGAAGATGTAGTTGTTCCAAAGAAAGAGTATTTTCAACCCAAGGAAAATTCGTCGTAACCTAACTTATTGTGCCCCCTTCAGAAAGGTAATTTCACATACACAAGCCTATATTTTTAAAGATTAACATAGTTAACATCTCTAAATTATCGAACAGTTCTTATGACCTTTTTTAGTTCTTGCATAAACACAAGAATTATATTAAAACCTTGACGGTGTACCTTTCAGAACACAACCATTTAAGCTGTTTTGGTTGTGATTAAGCAGGTACCAAGAACAAAACTTCATCAGTCATATTTATGAAGAACAGAATACATTTTTTTAAACATATTTACTCAGAACAGAACGTGACATTATATTTTTATTACAATGATGTATAGATCCAAAATCAACTTTGAAATATTTCATATCAGTGTCAAGATCCTCTAGGATCCTCTTAATTTAAACCAAAGCCAAGTGAGCAAACTTAAATTGTCGCTAAAGCTGTCTCGTTTGGTTTTGCTACCCTTTCACTGCACTGTTTGCAAATAAAACATGCTGTTACTTAAAACCACTACAACATTCAGTCTAATATTTTAAGGATAAATAAATGCTCTTAATACCCACACAGCTTCAGCTCTTGCTGTCATTATCCTTTCCTTTTAAAAACTATATTTTAACATTTGTCTTATGATTCTATAAGTATAAATAAAACAAACACAATTAACCAATATTTTATTTATTGCAATATCAATAACGTTACTTATATAATAAGACCTAAGCTTCTAGAAAAACAAGTACTTTATAATGTGGCACTTGACCTACCTCACATGAAATAGACAATATTACATCAGTCTCACTGGTGCTCGTTTCTTCTGCTAAGGGGTTCTCCCAATTTTTAAACGAGACCCCTCAATTCAGAAACAAATACAACAACTTTTTAGTATCCCAGTCACTTAATATACCGACAGAAAATGACGATTTTTGCACATAAATGAAAAAGAATATTATAAGAGAAGAATAATTCCATTTTCCGCATAGATATAAACTGGCTGGAGCACTTTAAAATGCAGTTATCGTATTAATATTACTGAAAAATGCCAAGAAAACGAAAACAATTACAAAAAAAAATATTAAAAAGTCACATTTCCATCATTACTCCATAAATAAGGCAATTAGTAACTTAATACCGATTACAAAAATAAATAAGTACTTAATTTCCTAAACGCTCAGATTATAGTACATTTCATAAATGCCAATTAAGTAAAATATTTGTGATGTTTTAAAAATTAAATTTGTGATGTAATTATCTATTTAACCGGAATTTGTTTTAATATTTGAAAAACTTGGGAAATTTACTTTAATTAATTTTTGTGAATTATAATTAATTTATTATGGAACTCAACTGACTCCATCAATGTATTATATCTTAAACTTTATGGGGAACTCCATGACGATAATATACAAAGAAAAATGTTAGAAAAAATAAAATAGAAAATTTAAACAAACTTAAAAGAAATCTGTTACCAACAATATAGTATGTATAAAATAACTTTTTGTTTGTTAAAATCGTACAGGAAGGGTGTGAAATAATTATCGAATAACATAAGGGCACCAGCTTTTTCTTATGACTTCGAAATTAAACAACGGAAAACTCGCTTTGAAATTAATGATGGTATTAACAATATTGCATCTAGGAAAATTCCATGTTTTACATTCGTTATAAAAATGAAAAATAATAAATCAAGAGCTTAATATCCTTTCCTTATTGAATAAATAAGAGAGTACAGTACAGTACAGTATGCCAAATTATTATAGTTTTTAGATACAAAAGTAATAATTTCAAGCAAAAGATATTCAAACTTTACTGTACAGAATATATAAATGTATAACGATAAAATAATAATAGTTGGAAAGTTATTATATTTACAACTTAACTGTAGTTGATATTCAAAAAAATTAGGTTTGTTACAGAAATATTTTTAAGGCAGCTAGTAACTGTAATGGTACAATAATTTCAGCAACATTAGGTACATAATATATTTAAAAATGTATGAAGTATTAAACAAATTAAAAATTCACTTTTTTTTGTTGAATTTGTCAAATATAGCTCAAAAGGTAAATAAAAACTATATAATAGAACTTGTTTACTTTTACGTTTCTAAATTATTGTTTCTCTAATAACCATTACATAAAGTCGCCCTTTTACCTTTTGCTGCCTTAAAAAACCATAAAAGAAAAAGTAAAAATAAAGACCAACTGCAACAAATGTAAAACATGGACTTCATAGCCAACAAAAAAGTGTGTGTCCTTACACAATGTTTGAAGTGAATACTTCCTGTACCAAATAGTTGCACTATTCGATGCACGACAGGCTCGATAATTCTACGCGTCTACCACACGTGGAAAATAATTTGACACGCGCTTATCTACTGTCACATAAGAAGTATTCATTTCAAAAATAAAAAAATAGTAATTATAATAATCATTACCGTTCATACATTACATACTCGAGTTAGTTCCTTATTGGTTTTGCATACATCAGTCATCAACATTCGTGGCAGTAGATGCAGTAGTAGAAGGATGCCACCAACCCACCGACCACACACACACGACACGCAAGAACGGTGACAGCAAGCACACATTTGTTGAGGTCCTTATTAGTTACCTACATATTACAGTACTGGAATTGGAGTCGACGTCGAAGTCGAGCACGAGGAGTTTTGTTTCCTCGGTGCCATTCCGGCTCCCAACTGCGCACACCAATTTGGTGTCGCTGGCACGTATGCGCCACACGACACCGCCTGATCCGCCACTATCGAGCGCCACCAGATTTCGGATGAACTCGCCCGTCTTCAGGTCCCACAGCTTGACTGTACCGTCATCTGACGACGTTATCACAAAACGATTGTTGAATTGAAGGCAAGTTACGGCTGATTGATGTTTATAAGGCCCTGCAAATATAAACGAGGCTGTCAAAAAGACACAAATAAGCGATATAAACTTTTGTTTTTGTCGTAATGATAAACCTCTTCGATACAGGTTTATTTTTACTCCTTACCTGAGAGCGTTTGTAGACACTGACCGGTGATAATGTCCCAAACTTTAACCGTAGAATCGGCATTTCCCGAAACAAGAATGTTATTACGCAGTTCCATGCCGGATGTAAGCGACTGGTGACCCATTAAGGTATGACGGCAGGCACCCGACTCAACCTCCCACACCCTTATGCTGGTATCTAGCGAACCACTCACCACATGGACACCATCAAACTAACACAAAAACGAACGGTATAATTTCTTATTACAACTTATCTAATCAAGCAATATTTCAAATTGGTGTAAAAGCCTCATGTAATTTTTTTTTTGATCATTTAGCGTTCGGAATCCAACAAGGTGTGGACTCTACAAACGCCTCAGACCTTTTACTAGGTAAATCACAGGCAACTGTAACTGTTTTTGATTACTTGAACATACGTTTTCTTCTTACCTGTAACGAATATACACGGTTAGTATGCCCCTGAAGTGTATGAATACATTCCTCCCTCTCCGGATTCCAAACCTTCACCATGTAATCATAAGCCCCAGAAACTACCAATTTCCCGTCGTACTGGACACATCGAACCGCGGCAAGGTGACCAACCAAAACATGTAAACATTCTCCTGTCTCAATATTCCACACTCTCAAAGTAGCATCACGTGAACCACTCACGACCCTAAAAATAGGAGAGATGTTATAAACATATACATATACATACAGGGAAAGAATAAAGTTAAACTGCGATTAGCCAATGTCCACATTATACCCTAGCTGTACATTTCTTCTGTTCAAAAATAATTCTATATAATATAAAAATGAATCGCAAAATGTGTTGGTAAGCGCATAACTCAACAACGCCTGGACCAATTTGGCCAAATCTTTTTTTAAAATGTTCGTTGAAGTTCAAGGATGGTTTTTACAGCGAGAAAAATTAGAATTATTGCTGGAAAAACCCTAAAAATAGCCCTTTTCTTTTTCCCATACAAATGATTTGTAACTAAAACGTAGTCAATTTGAGCTTTATTGCTATGGCATAAAGTTCATATTAAATTACAAGCACTCACTGTTGTCTAAGCAATGTAGGTGTGTTCCTAACGTCAAAGATCATATCTATCAAAACAATGTGCGTGTGTGCGTAGGAGCACAGAATACATAGTTGGAGGAGTTTAATGTCGCGTTCCGAAACTCGCGTTTCTTTTGTATTAGTTTCGGCACGCGAGATAAANGCCAGATACAGAAGGCGGTAATCCTGGACACGGCGCGCATTGTCAGGAGGTTCCTCTCTCTGCGGCCCTAACCGCCGGTAGCTTGGGCCCTGCCCCGTTGCTGGCGGCACCCTAGGTTAGGTTTTTTATACTGTGTTTATATTTTGTACTGTATTTTTTATTTTACTTTTTATATGCATTTTATAAAAAACCTAGCCTAAGATCTAAAGTAAATAAAGGAGATAATAATGAACATTCAATGTCATCATATGTCATTTCATTTTAGCAGCGATAATTATTCTGTTTAAATAAGTTTAAAATCCCCGGTCGAAGACGGGGCGAGCAGCTAGTAAGAAATAAATGTAAATCTAAATTATGCACTTATTAATTATCATAAATAAGTGATGATAAAGATGACTTAGATGTTTATTAGTGAAGCCTACTACAAGTTTACAGTTTTTATCTTAATTTGATTAATTATGTTTCCATGGCTCAATATAAGTCTGCTGAAGTCTTTTCATTTACATTCATATCTGTGTGCAAACGGAAAAGAATTAAATATCTCCGTCTCCTCTCCCATTACAAACGTGCTCTGTTTTGCGAAACAGTCCAAAGGCGTGCTCCAATTTGACACAAATATTTGCCGAGTAATCCTGAACGATACAAAACAACATTGTCGGCAGATTCGTTGCATTTTGCAATTTCCAACAAAAGCATTGAACATAGTCTTCGGAGCATTTGAAAAGCCACGCTAAAAGATACGGTACAGTACCGCTGGAAAACCAAAATACTTCAGAAGTATCAACAAATTTTGACTGGCTGATTGTGAAGTTGTCTTCTGTTTGACATGAAAATGAAGTAACAATTACTCGACTGGGCTGGCATATGGTTACAGAGGGAAATGTTACACGGACTATATTGAATTTATCTATTCTTCTTTCTATGTTACTTGAGAATGACGAACTGCAATTATTAAAAGAACTTTCTTCCCAAAAACGCTTCAGAACACGTCTGCCTTCTTCTATCGATTGTGAATGGGCTCGACTAATTAAAAATAATTTATAATATGAACAGGGTAACTTGCACTTTGATTTCCAATTCTGATAACGTATAGATTTTATATTGGAAATAAAAGCACTTCTGCTTTTGTACATGCAGACTCTTCGCACATCTTTTACGTTATTGAAGTCAGATAATTCGTTCAAAAAATGATTATCACCCAAAAGACCAAAGAAAGGATTGTTGATTAGCACTGTGCAACGTGTCATTGCGCTATTGTCGTGTGTGTTTGATTTGATTTCGTCATGTATAAACGAATTTTTTTCTTTATTAGCCGCTGGTAAAGGATTATCGGTAAATATTTTACTTAAATTATTAGAATTTAAAATAGTAATGTGCGACTCGTGAATTATTTCCTTTTTCTTTGTAAAATTGGGATATTTTTTTCTGTTATTTAGTCGCTGATCTTTTTTCTGTAAACGACGATTATTAATTGCTTTGCAAGAAGAAGAAGTCAGACGTCTCTTCAAACGGTTCATATTTCTTTTAATCGCTTGTGAAAACCCATTGTGTGATGCCACCTTTTTGGGATCACGTTCTTGTTCTCCATTATTCGGTTCGGATTCCAAAGAATTTGTCAAACTTAAAGGAGTTGTTGCTGGCTTTTTACAGGGAATGGGTAATTTACTACGAAATAAAGGTTTCCTATACTTGGTACAATCTATCTTAGTTTCAAATTCAAAAGCAAAGTTTTTCTTATTAAACTGTTGTTTTCTATCATTAGGAATAGCGTCACAGCCTCTATCTTTATAAGACTCTTTATTAACATTCCTAATGCCCTTAGTATTTAGCTTCATATTTCGCCATTTTAAATAAGTTTGCAGGTATGACGGATTTTTTATCAGAATTATATTAGGTGTACGTTTTCTTGATACCTTGTTGTTAGGTTCTATGTTCTTCTTTGGATCAATAGATTTTCTACTTTTTTTAAAGGTCACTGAATTACAGTTTTGTTTCCTTTCCATGTGAAATACACTTGAAACGGTAAATTTCGACTCTATAGAGGGTTTGCCACCCAGACAAGTAATATTCATAATGGACATTACTTCGGCAGTCACACTACTACAATTTTCGTATATCTTCTCTATCATATTGTCAAGTGATTTATACGTGTTTTTTAATGTTCGTTTTATTTCTAGAGAGTCGCCATATCCTTTCGCGTGATCTAAATAGTTTAGCGAAAGCTTAACTCCATCGTCCATACTTACAGTTTTTCTTGGCCAGTGATGTGATCTCAAATTCGACTTACTTGTAAAAGGTTTTGTAGTCATTTTTAAGCGTGATTCTTCTTGCTTAATTTTCGATATCTTTGTTTTCAAACTATTTGACAACGTATTTATGTAAGATATGTTTGAAAAACAATAACAACTTTTATAAAGGGGCCCTCTACCCTTTATAAAAGATTTTCTTTCGTCATCTTTAGTTTCAGTATTCGTTCGAAAAATTTCACAAACGGACAGCTTTTTTCGTTTTGCAAGATCATTTACAAGGGACTCTCTACTTCTCTTAACAAATAAATTAATTTTCAAAGGACTATGAAATAATCTGCCTATCATAGTCTCTTTAATGTCTTCCTTCAACTTAACCCTGTACCTTTCTTCAAAACTGTTATTTAAAATTTTCAATAATGGCGAAACATAAACGGGTACAGAAGTTTCTAAAGGCGAAGTATTAGTACCATTAGCAATTATACTTTTCCATTTATCAGTTGTCATTTTAAAATAAGCAATACTCCGAGTACACTGCATTTTATTGAGTATTCCTTCAATGTCATCTTGGATTAGTAGCAATTCCTCGACTAAATTCTTGCTTATGCACACTCTATTTTCCAAGCTATTCTCAAATTTGTCCAGTTTCAGTAATCTTCTTACCACATACCCCAAATTGAGCGAGGGTATTTGACAATAATTTAATTTGCCTTTGTCATAATACGACAAGATGTTCACAATTTCTTCATACAATTTTACGCCGTTCTCGAGGTTTTTAAACTGCTTTGCTGAGACAGAGCACAGCGGCCCAGAGTCGTTCTGCTTATACAACACAGGACCACCTCTTATCTTCAGTGCCACATCAGAAATGAAAGGAATCAATTTGCTTTTTACAGCATGAAGGCATTCCACGATTACATAAAAAATAAGCTTATTGATTTCATCACCACAGGCAAAATTTCGCAAAACCGACGAAAACCTGTATTTTTTTCTCGTTGTTTTTCGGGATTTTTCATTATGTAAACTTATTTTCAATACCGGTTGTGATAAAGCAGCCATCATTGACCTCAAGTGTATATTTTTATGGTTTCTTTTTTATTCTAGAATATAAACTCTTAAATTTTGAATTTGGACCAAACATAATCTTTTAGGAATATGACAAATTTTGTTATTAAACTGCAAAACAGTTTACTTGATATATTAATACATAAAAGAATCAAAGATAAAATACAAAAAATCCTGTCAAGAAATGGTTATTAAAATTATATTTTTAAAATGAGAATCTTTTTTTAATTTAATTCATAGGATCTGTAACTATCTGCTTCATTTAAAAACATAATTTTCAATTAGAAGTAACGACTACGCTACTATTATTTTTTTATTAATACCGTGTTCACAAACCTATGTCAGTATGACAGCTCATACATATGCAAATACCGTAATTTAAATTAAATTTTCAGCTTTTTGTGACCATACTCACATTATACAATGAACATAAATATATATATAAGTAACGATTAATCACTAAACCAAGCCACTTTTCATGCCTGATTTACAAAGGACGAAAATCCGTGGAGCATCCCCCAACACCGAAAAAGCAACATTGAAAAAGATGAGTACCGATGTCTTGCCAACATCATCGGATTTTAATCGAATCGATAAATTTGTTACGAATACAGTCTTGCAATATCTTACTTCAGCGAAAAGACACATACAACCTGTTTTGGATGAAATCGTCAAAAATGTAACCCCTCAAGACCTAATAAGTCACGATAATCTTGACACGGTGTGCTCCATTTCAAATGTACAATTAAAAGCACTCGAAAAAGGCATCAATCTGTTTCATCAGGTAAAAAGTATAATGACGTCTGACGGAAAAAATTCCAACAGTTATCACAAGCTCAATAACACTAATTCGAGTTTAATAACTGTAAATAATCAACAGAACAGAGATAAAGACGTTACTTTCATTAGCAAAGAACTGTATGAAGCGTTACTTGTATTTTACAAGGATTTAGAAAGTACAATTGCAAACGTGCAAAATTTCCAAAAGGAAACCGTAGAAAAAAGAACCAACATGCGTCCATCATCGGCAAAAAGTCTTGACCTACCACTTTCAACAAATAAAACAAGACTGAAAGACAAAAGAATTTTATCAAAAATTGATTTGAAAAGTAGGAGTGACAAAGCAGCTTCTACGACCACGAAGATGAATATTAGAGAATGTGACAATTTTCAAAACGAATTTGAAAACTTGAAATGTGTTCTTAAAACTCTAAAAACGTTTATAAACAATTACACAAAGTCAGCCTGCAATGTAGCTTACCACACAAACAACAATAAAATGACGAATAGCAATAATAAAGTACAAATGCGTTCATCAAGCAACAAAACTTTGAACATGTCCAAAGCAAAAATACAGGTGAAAAGTTTACTCGAACAACTAAGGGAAGTCCAGGTCGTCCTAGAAAATTTCCACAGGAAAACCGAAATGGACCCCCTAAAAATGACCACCATTCCAGAAAAAATTAAGCATCCACACAAAATACCAATACCAATCAGAAAAAAAATCAACGATACCCAATTTGGTTTTGGCACTTCTAATAACCAACTCTTATCTAATGTTAGCGTATCCAGTTTGCCTCAGAAATTTTTTAGAAGTAAAAGAAATGTTACCACTTTGAACTACAACAGTGACTATTCAATGAACATAAACAGTGCAGCAAAGCGTGAAAGAAACTCAAACAAACTAAATGAAAAAAGATGCCAAACATGCATTCCAAAGCCTCGGCAGAGTGTAAAAGCGGTTCAAGCGAACATGCTATTTTACAAAGACAGAAGAAATAAACTGGCGTTTAGTCAGCTCCCACAAAAAATTAAAAACGAATACAAATCCAAAAGTCACAAGATATTGCAAACCTCGGACGTGAGATCGGTGAAAAGCGAAGTGGTGCGATGTAAACAAACTCATAAATCGAAAGAAACAGTAATCGGTAATACTTTAGACTTAAGACATGCTTATAAAATGCCAAAAAATCGGCCCGATATAAGGGTCAGGGCAAAATCTTCTCAAAGTTACAAAAATGAAGAAAAAATCAACAGGGAAAATAGAAATCGACAATTTAGGAATAATTTCGAAACGCTTAAGACGTCGCATTCAGAAAATGCAGAGATTACCAAAGACAAGTTCAGATCTACAATGACCAAATCCGTCAATAACGATTTAAAAGACATTTGCTATTTGGATAATTGGAATTCAAGGCGCAATAACCGTAAAAATATTAAAGAAAAGAAAGCATCAAGTCTCAGTATTCTTAAAGAAAAACACGGCAGGTTTGCAACAGCTGAGCGTAATACTGACAATAATATTATAACGAAGAAAAAAAATCAGCCGAACAATTTTAAAAAGGGTACTAGCGGTAAAAACTACTGTACGCAGACCTTCCTTATACAAACGTTACCTACACAACCGGCACAGATCCAAAATAATAATAAAATAGAATACTCTATTGACGAATTAATAAAAAATCCGTATAGAAAAAGGCGGAGAATTTATTAATGTACCTAATCGTTTTCTATTTAAATATGAATGCGGTACTTGTAAGATGTCTTAATATATAAAATTAAAAAAACACTTTTTCGACCTTCATAGCATATGTCTTTATAATACTAGAAACTTAATATCGAACACTAACATCTAAAAAACTCTTACTTTTGTACAAATTGTATGTTCTTTACTGATGCAATAAAAAATTATACTTTGTTACTGACTCGCTAGACTGCACTAGAATTTAACACCAAGGGGGCTAAAATAAATCTTAAAAAAATATGCGTACCAGCTACTAATCCAACTGCCACTATAATGCAAGGCCAGAGGGGAAGGGTGGGAGGGAAATTAAAGATTATCTGTGTAATAATGCTGCCGCAGCATTTAATTAACTAATTAGGGGAAACCACAGAAAAAGCTGAATACCCTTTGCTTATATTGCATATTGTTTTTGCCTTCAATTGATGGCAGTGGTATAGTAAGTAGTAGACCCTTTCTATGTTGGAACGAAAACTTTAACCTGTCCAATTATGTATAGAAAATTTTGTTTCAATGCAAAAATTAAAACGTATAATAAATAAACTATGACTTACTTATCTTTGTGAAGGTGCATGCAACGCACAGTGGATGTGTGTCCGTACAGGGTGTGAATGCAAACTCCCGTCTCAGCGTCCCATACTTTCAAAGTACGGTCAGTACTGCCGCTTATTATTATGCTGCCGGACATCTGGGAAGACCACACGCCCCCTGTGTGTCCAACCAAGGTTCGCAAACACTAAACAGTAAGGTAATTAAATTCAATCTCTTATATATATATATATAAAAAAACAATTTGAGGTAAAGGAAAACGAATTGTTTACCTTTCCTGTTGTCGCGGACCAAACTTTCAATGTATTGTCATCAGATCCACTAACGATGTGGTTTCCGCAAAACTGAAGGCACGTAATCACGTGATCGTCATGGCCCTTGAGCATTTTCGGGGGTTTGATGGGTCTACTACGCCAGTTCATTTCAATCGCGTGGTGTCTCATATAAGCTGCCTGTTTCAAACAAACCATAAAAGTTAAAGGATCTCTATAGGTCTAGAAAATAAGATTGTAAACAAATAATAAACTTACTTTCCAGGGCGAAGTATGACTATTGGGACAACGGGGCGACATCTTACGTTTGGGTATGTCTTCGATGCCGACCTGCTTGCACTTTTCTTTCCATAAGAGGTTGTCGTCAGCAAGAAAGCGCCAGCTACGACACGTTTGAGCAGCACGCAAAAGATCGGCAGGTTCAAGCAGCCGCAAAACAGACAGTGCCAGCTCTCGAGGCAATAGCGAGATAAAATCACGCTGAAACTGGGGCTCGATCACTTGCATCATGTGCCTCACTTGCGTGGGCTCGCAGCGAGTGATCAGCTCGTCTATTGCTAACAATCTTTCTGCGTTAGACCATCTCTGCAAAAACGATACAAAAAAATGCATACAGGACAATTATAATAATATAATAATGAAATGAATAAAAAGAAGATTTTATGCTATAAAAGATGTCGTTATTAAATTCGTACCTGAAACTGCGTGATCCACTCTCCTAATTCTGGGGGCGGATTGTCCTTTGTCGGAATAACAGCTCTAATAGTTTTCATCTTATCGCCAACAGGTGTAGTGACGACCGACTGATTATTACTGGAGGGGATTTCTGACTGAATTGGCGGCGAGGGTACGACGACGTTTTGAATTTCACTTTGCGCTTTATTAGATAACTCTGTGGCCTTTTTATCTGGTAACATTTTTTTGCACGGATGCCCATTTTGAAGGTCCAATTTTCGTTTTCTCTATAAACAAAAAAAAACAGCTATTATACAAAAAAAAAGATAGCGTGCGTTTAATGGCTCCATTACAATAATCATGGTGTTCAATTTTATCAATCAGAGAGAAGATTAGTCATAGATCATATGTTGGTCAACACAAACCAACTCAAACAAACTTTTTCATCACAGGAAATACTACTAACTGCATTGTACAGAGTGGATAAAAAAAATAACTGTCAAAAACGAAGTTCCCGTTAGAGAGCATATAAATTATTGATCTACCCTATACACAAAAGGATTAAAATAAAAACGCATTAGCGTACCCTTCGATCATATGCCGCCTTCAATGTACTTTTTGGTGTTGCAGGGCACATTGAATAAGGAGTTTCGACGCTATTAATTCCATTACAGTCCTAAAACAATGACGTCAACATTAAAAGTCAACAGGTCAATTTAATAGTAATTAAAATGGCAAGTATATGCTTACTTCATCTATAATACTTCTAACTGCATTATCGATTTCTTCCTGAAAAATATTGTTCCAAGAATGCTCTTCACAATCACCATCACACTCCTCTAAGCCTAATTCACTTAAGAACTCCGATTTCGTTTCAATCTTATCGTTACTATCTAAATTTGTTAAGTCATCCCCACTTGCATCTAGTAATTGGGAAGGGCCTGAAACAATAAGACATATTTTTAAAAACTACTGCAACGACAATAAAAACTCCTACGTTTTGTTTTAATGTCTAAAAGCTAACGATAACAATTATGTTTTCTTTTTACTTTTTTTGCCACTTACCTGGTACGCTATCAATACTTAAATTTTCCAAACAAACAGTTTCAGTAGGACTTGGACTTGTACACTCCTGTTTGAAATCAACTCCAACTAATGACAAATTATTTCTTTTTGGAGGACATGATTCTGCCATTCTAAGATAATACTGTCTGTAAGTAAATGGAATTTGTTGTGGTGGTGTTTTTTCCATTAAATTTAAGATATAATATCGAAACGCAGTGTACAAACATACAAAGAAAAACATTTCAATGTCATTTACATATTTGATGCAACACATTTACAAAATCCCCCTTTACACTATTTTATTACTGTTAATATTACAATACTGATTAATTATTTCTTATCTAGATTTCGAAGTTTAATCAGATAATAATAGA